GGGGACCTTCCCTGACCTCTGTTATGTCATTAGAGGACCACAGACAGAGAGGCTTAAACAACAGCAATGTCTTGTTGTGCCATTCTGGAGACTGCCAATGCAAAATAAGGTGTTGGCCGTTTTGATTCCTCCTTAGGGCTATGAGGGAAGGATCTGTTCCAGGCCTCCCTCTTTGGCTGGAAGATGGTTCTCCTAAGCCTGCATCTCCTCTCATGGTCTTCCCTCCACATGTTGTCTGTATCCCAGTTTCTCTTTCTTGAGTGCACCAGTCATATTGGACTAGGGCCAATCCTAATAACCTCATTTAAACTTGGTTACCTCTATAAAGATCCTGTCTCCAAATGACTGTGATTTACGATTGCAGCGTGTCTTTATCTGCAGGACATTATTCAGCCTATAACAGTAGGTTTCATAGCACCATAGATACCCAGTTTTAGAATATTTCACACTTACAACGTTGTTATTTATGCAGCAGTGTGACTGTCTGTCCCCTCACTAGATCATTCTCCCTAAGGAGGCAAAGTTAGCACCTTAGAGATGCCAGTGCTTGTGTCTTAAATAAACAAAAGGAAAGAGACCTGTGTGCCAGGCTTAGTTGTTTGGTCCTGGTCATGTGGTCCATGAGATACAGGGGCATGACTTGTTAAGAGCTGGTCATGTGGTCCATGAGATACAGGGGCATGACTTGTTAAGAACTCTGATTTAGGAAATCGGAGCACCACCTCCTCCCTGAACACCAGCACCAAGTAAATGCCAAGTGCATCCCATGTTGTCGGGTGAGGGTTATGTGCAGTCAGGAGAGCTTCACAGTTTGAAGCAGTTTCTTTGCCAGCCTCCCCTGGGAAAACAGTACATCAGCAGTGAAGTGACAGCAGCATGCAGTGTTCTCTGTGCACTCACTCCCTGGCTGGAGACATAGGTTTAGAACACGTCCTTGCAAGAAATATGTGTGTCTTTCAGCACTTACGTGGGAAAAGGACTTCTATGCTGGTATTTGAAATTGTCAGCATGTTCCATTTCCCCATACATTCTTTTAGCACAAAATTTTCAAAAATAATACAATTATCAGTAAGACATAAGTTGTTAAACACCCAAAGGATTTGCCAAAGGAATATACGAGATGCCCTCTGGAGTTTGAAATGGTAGACCTCTACTTTTTTTCAAAGTTACAAAATTGAGAACTAGATATGGGGGGATAATTAGCAAAGTGATATAGTGGACATTTAAAATCCTTATATAAAATAGCTGGGTTGACATCTCCCTGTCATTTAAATATTAGTCATTTAAATGTTAGTCCTTCTACAGATAAAGAAATGAATGTGATGATTTGTCGGGCATATATCTCTGACACTGTAGGTTTAACTCAGGGGATAGCACCTCAATAGTCTTTATTTTCCAGAGCTGAGCCAGTCTGTTTCTTCCTGCTAGAAGCTTTCAAAACAATGATCACATCTTTTGCAGCTTACAATCCCCAAGACATCCATGATAGTTATTACATAGTCTTCTGCCACACATTATGTAATATAATGTTACATGTTTATCCCAAAATGGAATTGTTGGGTATTGTGTCAATGACTATAAACTTAATTTCTGATGTTGTATTTTTGTAAAGAACAAGTTCTGGGTATGTGGTGGCATTATAATAAATATTTTGAGTTCCACTTGAAAACTGGTACTTCCTTTGAAGGATTATATCCAGTGGTACCATTAGACTAAAATTTTTAAAAATGATGTATATAATAAACTACAGATTTTAATTGACCTATATTGATTCTCTGTTAGATGCAGACAATATGCTTTTTGTCAATCCCACCTTAAGAAAAGAAGCATTTTACCAGGGGAGGATAAATATATACATATCTATGCTGTAATGGTAAAAATAATAGTAAATACACACACATACAGACACAAACACACACACACACACACACACACACATATATATATATATGTATAATATCTACCTGTCTATATAGATATCTTAGAAGAGTCTTATAAGGTAGGTACAGTTAACTTTCCTATATTCCAAATGAAGCTACTGAGGTATAGTAACTTGTCCAAGATCACAGAGCTAGGAAGGGACAGAGCCAATATTTGAGCACTGGCTGTTAGTTTGGCTTCCTAGCTCCTGTCTTAATCACCATGCCTCCCCAAAATGTTACTAAGTCCCTCATGAATACAGCTAACTACATTCAAATAACCATCGAGTTATCCTGCCCTTAGTAATTAAAATCATCTTAGATTCAACCATTTCTCTCCATTTCTGCTACCACTAGCCTGGTCCAGGTCGATATAATGTCTCACATTACGTTCGATGGTTACAGTGGACCACAGCAAAAGCTTGCCAGCTGCTTTCTCCACCTCCTCTCTCACTTCAATCAAACCTCCGTATGGGACCCATAACAATCTTATGCAATGTGTTGCATACATCATTCTTTCCTAAGCCTGTCCAGGGGTTTACCAATTCTCATTGGATGAAGACAGAAATCCTCAAGAATTTACAAGGCTCGAAGTGACTTGGCTCCTACCTGGCTTGGCATAGTGTCTTGTGCCCCTCTATGTGTTTTTCATTTGTGTCCTAATCATTCTTACCTTTTCTGTTCCTCAAACATGTCCTAATGCTCTCGATTTGCAGATTAAACACATCTTATTTCCTCTGCTTAGATGATTCTCCCCAGTTGTCCCCAGCATCATCCACCATGCATTTGCCAAGTAAATTCTACCCATGCTTCACAGCTTGGCTCAAATTTCACTACCCCATGGAAGTCTAAATTCTTCCTCTAGCCTGAGACAGGCTTCCCTTTCATCAGCTGACTTAGAAACCTACACTTTCCTTTATCTCAGTTGATATTAAATTATTATTTATTTTGTCTTGGATTGTCTCTCTCCTCTAAAATGTAAACTCATGGGAGTAAAAATTTTTTCCCTCTTTTGTTTCCTGCTGCAACCATTGTGTGCAGTATATAATCTTTCATGGTTGAATTGTTGAATTTCTGTTGAATGACCAGAGTAAGGAAACTGTTTCTATTGAGGCAAATAGAAAACAGCATTGAGAAGGTGGTATTTAATCTCTATTTTGAAGAGTGACTAGGATCTAAATAAGACTAAAGGTGGAAGTGGGGAAGAAGTCCTTCCAGAAAGCAGAAATCACTTGAAAATCTTAGTGTTGAAAAAACACAGCGTTTAAAGATGGTAAATAGTGTAGATTTATTTGAATGCAGGATGAGAAATGAGGAGTATCAGATGATTTTTAAAAGTTAGGCACAGATTAAACCAGAGAACCAAGAGTCATACATACATATTTATTCTGTAAATAATGAGAAACCACTGAAAATATTAAGGATGGGACTGATAATGCAGTGATTTAGGGAAAATTATTTGTCAGGGATGTATTTAAAATTTAGTGTTTTACAATCAGACATGTTAGGTTTCAATCCCAGCTCTCAGCTCTCATCTTTTCTTGCTCTTTGACCTTGGAAATTATACCAAAGCCCCGTGTTAGTTAGGGCATTGCTTTTTGTATCAAACAAATCCTGAAGTTTCTGTGGCTTAGTACAATAAAAGTTTATTTCTAGCTGTTGTCCAATATGGACTTCCATAGTATATTGGTCACTAGTCCTTTTGTCTTTATTTCTTGAATCTATGGTCCTGCAGTCGCCCTAAATCCTCAGAGATTGCTATGTTCAGTTGGAAAATAGGGACTGAGGTAGGGGGAAATATCTATTTGCTTCTTAAAAGTTCCAGCTCACCTTCCATGGTTGAAAACTAATCACATGGTAATGCCTGGATACAAAGGGTGATGGGAAATAATAAATGTTGGCTGGGTTGATTCCATCCAGACAACTTGACACTATGGAAAGAGGAGTTTGAAATTTTGGTAGGCAGTCAACCAATTTTGCTATGTATTCTAAGTTACAGTTTACTTTTCAGTAAAATGAGAATGGCAATGATATCTAACATACAGATTTGTAAAGAGAAGTAATGACACGTATGTGAAATATCCCAGCATAGTATTAAGAATATCAGTGATCCACTCCTTTGATTGAGAGAGCAGATCGGAGAAAACAAAACAAAACAAAACAAAACAAAACAAAACAAAACAAAAAACAACTCTACTAAGAACATAGGAAAAGGAAAGGCCTGGGGAGAAACTAAGAAAAGTGTGTGTTAAACTTGGTTCTAAATTGATGTTTTCAGTTTTGCTTTTGGAACATGTATTTAAACTCTTGAGAACTTAAATGAAAATGATAACTTTCCAGCATTCAGCTAGAGGCAGGTCCACAGTGCAGCCAGCAGCTGCTCTCAGAAGTCCTATTCTATGCAGATATCGTGGCCCTACATCGATCAACTTAGCACAGTGTTCGAAGATGGTCATGACTTTATAATCTTTACCAGTTTTGACTCTGAGTTATTTATTTTTTTAAGATGGACTGACATTATTGTAGTGTCTCAGTGAAACAAACACACTATTGGACTTTGTAGTATGGAAGACATTATCATATCACTTCTTAATTTAGTCCTTAATACTATAGAGAAAATATGAAAACAATTTAAGAATGGATAACAACTTCAATCAACTTGAAATTTTACATTTTATCAGTAAACATCATGGAAAGTAAAACAGAAGTCCTTCCAGAGAAGTCAGCACAAAATCATTAAAAATAGAAATGATATTTTCATTGTTGGCTGACTTGGGTCTTTCTATATCTTCATCTATCTACCTATTTATCATCTGTCAATCTAATCTATCTAATCTATTATTGATCCATCCATATACGTACATTTGAAAGAAGTTATATTTGCATTAGTAGCTATGATCTTTTCTATGTGATTTCTGTTTTTTGACTTTGGCTTGAGTGAAATGATACCCTGTGACATGGAAAACTTAAAAAAAATGGATTTGCATTTATAGATTAGGTAAAACAATCAAATAAATCCACAAAATGTGGCATTTCATGTTCCAGTTTTGCAGACGCAACCTTTTATCTGTATCCTTTCAGACAAGAAGGCTAATGCAGTTGGCCTGCCACATTTACCTGCAAAGCTAAGTAAGTAATAAGTATGCTCTTCTTTTAAAGAATTATTAAATATTAAGTCATTTTAATGACTCCTAGAAAAATAAGATAAATAGTTAAAAATGACCTTCCCAAGTCCCCAGACTGGAAACCTTGCAGTTGTTTTTCCACTCATGTCTCTCCTTGTTTCTCTGAGCTATTTTATTGGCCAAGACTTTGAGTTCATTAAATCTTGGTCACACTCCATCCTTCTGTCTTCACGCTCTCCATCTTTATTCAGATCCTTACCTCAACTATTATAATAGCCAATTAACCCAACCAGCCTTCCATTTTACACTTGGGACTTTATGAATCATCTTTATTCATGCCACTCAAAGTTCTGTGACTCACTGTTGCCTAAAGAAGAACAGAAGCTAACCTTGTGATCAAGTTTGTTTACTCTTGTGCCTAACTTTTCAGCTCGTGCCGTTCAGTGAAGTCAAAGTTCAAGTGAGAGTGAGCTTGTCATTCTGCTGCGAACAGACCCCACGTTTTCCTGAAGCCTTCTCTTTGCTTATTCCGTTGTCTTCCTCCTTAACTTCTAATCTCTTCAAGTCAGGATCCAACCAATTCTTTAAAGTACTGAGGAGTCACTATTGGAAAAAGAGTGTGAATTCTTAAGCTAGATTTCAAGAATCCTGATCTCAATGTTGCTTTAAAAAAAAAAATCCAATCATTGAGCAGGCTGTTTAACCTTTTGCAGCCTTGGCTTTCTCACTATTCAAATCGCCCCCCAAATGCATAGCCTTTAAGGCACTTTGAAGTTGAAATATCAAGGTGGAAGTAACATCTATTCCCTCTGAACAACCAAGGCACTTTTTCTGTTTTTCTAAAATGACAGGTACCATTTTTCTACTTATCTTATGTTCCAGTCTTATCTCTATTACATGGATATGAGCTGTTTGAAAATATAGTAATTCTTTGTCATCTTGATGCTTATTTTGCCCCTACATTTAATGAAAGAAAGACCAATTTCTGATTCCTCTAGATACCCAGTTAATATCTTGTGATTATTAGTCAACATAAATGTAAGGAAGCGAAGGAAAGAAGGAAAAAGGAAATAATGTTTATGTTTTTAAATATTGAGAATATGGACCTACAATGCACTTTTAACACTACTAATTAAACCACTTGTCTTAATGTATGTTCTTAGGACTCAGAGTGACATTTCCTTTTCATTATCTATAATTCATTTTACTTAAGTTCTTAAGTTTGATTAAATCCTATCACAAATGAAAATAATTTTTAAAAAGAATTTTTCATTCTAATAGTAATGTCCTTTGCCTCCCAGAAATAATTCCTTTTGCATCTTGTTCATAATATACAGTCTTGTGTTAAATGTTAAACTAGTTTGCTTTTTTGATTAATGTCTTTCTTGCTTTTGCTCGGGTTTGCTGATTAATTGCCTTCTGTATTAGCAGATGACTCTTTAATTAATTTCACATTTTGGTTAAGCATATCTTTAAGCTAATGTAGAAGCAAGATTTCTTAGAGAGTAATTTCTCTGTGTTTTATTGAAGCCAAAGTCATATCGTGGCATCAGAAAGTCTAGACAGAGTGTCTAAATACATTTACTAGTTAATTGAAATTACTCTAAAAGCAACACCTCTGATGTATTGGGCAAAGATGAAGATGGAAATTGATTTAGAAACATTCTCTTTAGCCTTCATCAATGCCTTATTTCTGCCATGCACTTCCTGATTTATTACACATTATTTGTTTTACATTCTAGTATCAGATGTTGCCTTCTTTTCTACACATTAGATTTCAAATGGCTCGTGGTCCTGCTCCTCTGTTAAATGCATCACATTCATCTGGATCACTGTGTAATGCGAATGTCTCAGCGTTTAGTCCATGCTCAGATCTCAGCCCCAGCTCTGATTCCTCTCTCCTAAGCCTTTGGGTTTGTACAGACAGATAAGCTGAATATAATTGTTACATTGAAGACTCAGCCCCTAAGGCAGACAGTGCATATTGCCAAAATTATCCCTGAGAATCCCTTACAAAAGGGCCAGAGTTGCAGATGGACCCATCTCTCAGCTGGTCTAATTCAGCTGATTTTTTTCCTTAATGTTGAAGCCAATACTTAAGTCTTCAGTTGAACACATGTGTTGGATTGGTTTCAGGGATAATATTTAAAATACAGATTATCTTGATACTCTAGAATCTAACTTAGTACAACTGACTGTGGTCTGAGAAACTTGGTATCCGAAGCCTTTGGAGGGAGTCCCAGATTCATGTCTCCCTCAGCCCCAACCCCATGGACACTCACAGGGAATGTTCACCACTGGGCATAAGCAAGTAGTAGCATCTCAGTATTTAATTTTCTTCCTCCTAATCATTTTTGTTTGTTTCGAAGAATGTGCCTTTGATTTATGCAAGCGACTCTACTGTATGTGAAAATTGAAGGCTAGATCCAGGTTTTTTTATCTGGATGGTCACAGCTTGCCTGTGTGTCGGTTTTCTCCAAGACTGCCTCTTTTACATTACAGAGATTAACACTGGTTCGCTTTTCTACTCTATATTTTAAACTCAGAATGGCAACTTGAGTCAACGAAACCTCATGTCCCTTAAAAAGGTGTTTGATTTTTCCAACTTGTTAAACTAAACTGACTTTTTTGAACTAATGGGAGTTGGTTCAACTGCTCCTCCCTGTAGACACTATGTAACTTGCCTTCTCCTTGTCTTTGCCTGGTGACTCGGGGGTTATAATACATCGAATGCAGGATAAGAAATGTAAGACTCATCTTACGCCATGCATGCTGCTGGCTGTGTCATAGTTACGGGAGAGGACATGTAGCTAGGGATTCCCTTCACTTCTTGCAGACATAACCAAGTCATAGTGGAAAAAAGTTTTGCCTCTGCTTTTTTTACTTTACACACAAAAAATGAAAGCCTGAGAAATCGTCCATACCTTATTCACTACTTAGAGAGTCACTGCACATTAGCATATTAGTGGCTCTAAGAAGTCCTGAGTAGAAACCCTTAAAGTTGGTTAACAAGGCAATTTCCAAATTTAATTGACTTTGGAATTCCTTCTCTTCTGTTTTTTTTTTTTTATTCTTTCTAACCTCCAATAAATTAACATCTTCTGGCACTCACAGAACACAGTTTAAGAAATGATGTCTAGGAACAATGAAAAAACTAATCGATGTTTTAAATTTTTTGTGCTGAAAAAGGCGTAACATAAAACATGCCATCTTAATCGTTTCTAAGTGAACAGTTCAGTATTGTTAAGTATATTTACATTGTTGCAAACAATCTCCTGAAACTTTTTTATCTTACAAAAATGAAACTATATTCTTTAAGCAAAAACTCCTCGTTTCCCTTTCCCCATTCCAATGGCAACAACCGTTCTTTCTCTTCCTATGAATTTGACTACTCTAAGTACCTCATATAGGTAGAATCATACAATGTTTGTCTTTTGTGACTGATATATTTCACTTAGCATAATCTTCTTGAGATTCATCCGTGTCGTAGTCTGTGTCAGAAGTTCCGTCTTTTGAGGGAAGGGTATATAGCTCAAGTGGTAGAGCACATGCTCAGCACCCAGGAGTTCCCGGGTTCAGTCCCTGGTATCTCCTCCAAGTGGAAATCAGTGAAGAAACCTAATTAGCTCCCCCTCAGAAAACAGAAGTTACATCTTGTTTAAGGCTGATGTGATAATTATATTTTTAATTTTTTGAGACACTATCATACTGTTTTCTCTAGTGGTTTCACCATTTCGCATCCCCACTAGCAGTGCGCAAGGGCTCCAATTTCTCCACATCCTGGCCACTGCTTATTTTTTATTTTGTTGTTGTTGTTGTTTATTGTACTTACCCTAATGGATGTGAGGAGGTATCAATACTGTGGTTTTGATTTGTGTTTTCCTAATGATTAGTGACGCTGAGCATCTTTTCATATGCTTGTTGTCCGTTTGTATATCATCTTTGGAGAAATATTTATTTATGTCCTTTGCAAACTTAAAAAAACACAGTTACTTTGCTGTTGTGGTTGAATTGTGGGAGTTCTTTATATATTCTGCATATTAACTCCTTAGCAGATGTATGATTTGCAAATATTTCCTCTTATCCTGGAGGTTGCCTTTACACTCTGTTGACTGTATTCTTTTATGCATAAGAGTTTTTAATTTGAGGAGACTCTTATTTGTCTACTTTTACTTTTGTTACCTATGTTTCGATATCCTATCTAGGAAATCTTTACCAAACCCAATGTCATGAAACTTTCCCCTTGGTTTTCTTATAAGAGTTTTATAGTTTGGCATATTATATTTAGGTCTTTGCTACATTTTGAGTTAATTTTATGTGTTGTAAGTTAAAGATCCAACTTTAAACACCAGTTTTTAGAGATAATCAATTTTAAACAAAGTATCAAAGAATTTACTTTGCAAGACTTGCTGATAACAAACCAGACTGGAATATAGTGACTACTATTTTCCTTTAAAATGTTTGTGAATTTTATTCTTTTTAATTTATACTAGAATCTTGGCCACGGTTGACATAGATGGCTTCTGTGTCACTGTCTGCAAAGAAAATGGAGGAATCAGTGTGCACTGCATTCTTATTACATGCAGGACGCTGCTACTTCTTATACCTCTTACTTCTCACAATAGCCTAGCGCATCCCAAACAACAGTCTGCGGACCTGAGCTAGACTGGCTACTGAAGAGTACCGACTAGGGCAGCAATCAGGGTGATCTAATTTTTAATGTCTCCAGCACTTGAAATGCAGTTCAGACGCAGTCATATCTGGCAGGTGTAATTCACTCACACCACGGCTTCTAATTGGTAGAGCTGGAGTTCAGATCCAGAGCCCCAAATTCTGACCTTAAAGTTCAAATTCTTTTTTCTAATAAACCCAAAGTCAAGCCAAGCATTTACAGATACTTCTTTTTAACAAGGAAACGTTTTAGCAGATGGTTGACAAACTTGCATCTTCCATTACTCTTTGAGTCTGCTGTCTGTGCCAACCACAGAGTAAAGAAGTAGTCCA